TTGTGCTCATTTGTTCATTGAATTATGTATTCGTGCGTTGTGGCGGCGTGTATGTGTCTGTGTATATACATGCAATGTTTGATCTACGAAGCGAGAGCGAACCTCTTCCGCTAAAAGCTAGGCGGGCTACGCACAGCTTTAATTAGGGAGACAGGGTGTATATACATACAAGTAGTCACCCATTCATTTATGTATGCATTTATTGACTCATTGATTTATCTATTTCTTTGTGGCGGAACCCACGTCCCTGGCCTGGCTCAGCGCCTCCGCCCAGCACCCCGCCGGCGGCGGCATCGACGCACGCTCGCCCGCGGGGCGCGGCGGGGGGCGCCGCCCGCGGTCCCCCGGGGCGCGAGAGCTCGGGACGCACGCCGCGGGCCGCGCCGGCGGGCGCCGCGCGGGCTCGGGGCTGCAGGAAGGGGCACGAGCCGACAAGCCGCGGACGGGGGACCCGTCGACCCTCTCTCTCGAGAGGAGGAGGAGGAGGAGGAGGAGGAGGAGGAGGAGGAGGAGGAGGAGGAGGAGGAGGAGAAGGAGGAGGAGGAGGAGGAGGAGGAGGAGAACGATGGGGTGATCCCGTCGTATCGCGCGGCCGCCACGTCCATGGATCGGGGGAGGTGCCCTGCCCGAAGTGCGGCCGGTGCCGCCCCGTTCGGCGGCGGAGGCCCGGGATCTCCCATGGAAGCGGGACCCGTCGCTGATCCACGCCCCCCTGATCCATGTTTGCGATCGCCTGAGAGAGGGGCGTCTATTGGAGGCCTGGAAATGGGCACCAACACCAACAAAGGGGGTCGCCTCCACATGGGGAAGATGATCCTGGATTTCGGTGTCGACGGTAATATTTCGGTCGCCTTGGAACCCAAAATATTACCACCATCACCGAGATCGGAATCTTCTTCCCTCGGTGGAGGCACACCGCCGATGTTGGTGTTGGTGTCAACCTCTAGGCCTGCGAGTCTAAGGCGATGGGTCCCCCAGAGGGGGCGAGGACCACAGCTCCCCCAGGCGTGGCAGGCGGACGATGGGGGGACTGGCTCAGGGGGGACACGTCGACAAGGGACTGCCAGGAGGGGACAGGCTCAGGGGGGGGGCGGCTCAGAGGGGCAGGGGGGCACGAGAGCCCAGAATCGAATCGACCAGTCGGATCGGCGATCGACATGAATCGGATCGGCCGAAATCGGCAGCCGAGTCGGGAAAGGTCGAACCTGCGGAAATCGGCGGGCTAGTAAGCTTCCAGTGAGGAATCGGAGTCCAAATCGGAATCCGAATTCGAATCGAATCGGAATCGGAAGCCATCGAAAATCGAAGCGAATCGGACCGAAGGAATCGAAACGAGCCCTGGAGGGGGGCACATCGAGCCGTGCCAGGAAACGGCAGGGGGCTGACGCCAACTGACGGGCAACGATGAACGGGCGGCACCGGCTCAGGTCGCTACACATCAACCTGGAATCGGCGATACCCAAGGCCGCGCTGACGGCGTGCTTGGTTAACGGTGCGGTTGGGGATCTTGTTTTTGTGACACCGAGCTCTCGCAAAACAAAATGCAGGAAATCACGAAACACCGTTTCCGACATTCCATATATGCGAATGTACCGAACGAAATCGACACAGCGAGTTGTAGGAAAACACGAACCACGCGTTCCTACAATGGGTTTGGCCACGAACCACGCCTTCCTACAATTGGCTCTCCTGCTTCGCCGTTAGCTAACACACCCTCAGCGCGTCTGAGGGATACGTCGCCAATAGATCGGCGATGGCCTCCCGATGGCAGGGCCGCACGTCCCTGGGCGGGACGTGCTGCCGGGCCCCCATCGGCGATCATGGGGCGTCTGGGGGTCGACGCTTCCCCCCCCCAGGCCTATCCACCCCCTCGACGTTGGCCGGGACCCTAGGATTAAGTCGGGCGTGTACTTTCGACGAAAAATGAAAAATACATCAAAAATTCGCCGGCCCAACGGGCCAGAGGCGTGCTAAGATCTCCGGTAACTGGTTAACAATATTTCTAGTTCGCGCGCGCGGGGCGGCCCCTGGGGGTCCCCCGGCGAAAAGTACCCCGACCGCAGCCCGGGAAGGTCTACTCAGAGATGGTTTTCCTCCTGGGTGCGGCCTCTCAGGCCCCCCAGAGCGCGCCAAGAGGGCCCCAAGAGGCCCCCGAGACGCCCAAAGGACGCTCCAAGACGCCGAAGATGATCCCAAGACGGCCCAAGAAGCCGCCAAGACGCTCCAAATGGCCTCCAAGAGGCCTCACAAGAGCGCCCCGAGAGGCCAAAATCATAAATTTTACTAGGGTTTTGGAAGGATGTTGGCCTTGTCGCATTTTCGGCTTTCCAATGCTCCCAGACGGCCCAAGAGGCTCCCAAGAGCGCACGAAGACGGCTCAAGAGGCCCCCAAGAAGGCCCCCAGAGAGCCCAAACGGGCCCCGAGACGGCCCAAGAGACGCCCAAGACGGCCCAAGAGAGCCCCCAGACGGCCCCAAGAGGGGCCCAAGATGGGGACCACGAACCGAAACCTCAAGCCTTCCGCCCCAAGAGGGCACCAGGAGGCCCCGAGAGGCCCCCAAGACGGCCCAAGATGCCGCCAAGAGGCCCCCAAGAGACCCCTGGAGGCTCCAAGGAGGCTCAAAACAGGCCCTACAAGGCTTCAAAAATGTCTCCCAGGCGCCCCCGAACGGCCTCTCAACAGACCCCAGGGCCTCCCAAAGAAGCACCTGGACGACTGCCCTGTTTGGGCCCACGGCGAAGCAGTAGCGATCATGCAACATGGGCCGGCGGAGTGAGCGAAGCGATTGAATAATCAAAGAATACTCCAAAAATAGTCAGGGGACTATTTTTTGACTATTTCGTACCTTTTTGAAGCATTTTTGGGGTGCCCCTGTAGGGGGACAGGCCCGACTCAACTCTAGGATCACAGCTTCGCCTCGCGCCGCCACGGGCCCCGAGGTCCAGGCAGGAGAGGAGAGCGGGGCGCCCCACCCGCGGCGCTGGCCACGGCGGCAGGCGAGGGCGGCGGCGGCGAGAGAGCGGCACGACGGGCGACCGACGGGGCGCCCGCGGCAGCGCGACCGACGGCGGCGACGAGGGCGGCGCGGGCTCGTCCGTGTTGACTACCTACCAGACCACCCCAACCCAACCCGAAGACCCGAATTTGACCCCAATTTCGGGTTCGGGGGGGAGACGGGTTCCATGTGTCTTTTCAACGTTCCTCGACTCCCCCCCCACACTGGAAATGGAGGGCAAATTGATGGCTTCGGGTTGGGTTGGGGTGGTTTGGTGGGTGGTGATGTGTGAGGGGGGGGAGGGCGAGAGGGGAAGCGCCGGCCCGCTCCAGGCGGAGACGCCGGCCCGGCATCTTCGGTGCAGCGCCGAGAGAGGTCGGCGACGGGCCCCCCGACAGCGCAGCCAGGACGCGATGGTTCCCCCCACCGTCGGTCGGAAGAGAGAGGCAGAAACGTTACAGGGCAGTTTTTTATACATGGGATTTTTTCAATATTGGATTTTAAATACATGACTATTTTATGAGTAAATTTATGCATGAGCTCCTCGTTGTCTTTAATACTAAATCCCTGCATGTTTAATACATGATCCGCACGCGGAGCATGTACTAAAAACGGCACTGTAAGTAGGAAGGCGTTCAACATAGATGTTGTGTCCGCCCGCCCCCCAAAGAGGACGGAAAAGGTGAAGCCTCTCGATCATTGAAATAGGAGGGCGCTTGAAGTAGACTGCAGTCTAGGACTCCAAACATACCTGCTTTCAACGGCCGATGGGTAATGGGCCCCTGTTCACGCCCGCTTGCTAACGGGGCCATCTGCGTGCTCATGGCTTCCAGCTCTTGGCCTTCGGTCCGCGTCGGCGTCTCTTCGCAACGACATGCGAACCCCTACCCTGCAGGTCTGATTTTTGAAACAACGGTGAGAGTTCCGAATATGAGTAATGTCTGCAGCCAATGTGCGGAGTGTCAGAGATAACCCATTTAAAGGGCCTCACGACTTCTGCTGTCCCTCGCCTCATGCTGGAGCTTACACGATTTCCCGGGGATCATATGGATCTGTCTAGATGTACGTATCGATCTTGTCCTGCTGCTGTTCCTCCACTTTCTGAATCTCGTCAGCCTACTTGATCATGCCCCTGGTACTATGCTCCCTTCTTCCTCCTGCTGCTCCTCCTCATCCTCCACCTTACCCTCCTTCTTCGACGCACGCATTCGGTATTCGTCTTCCTCCGCCTGCTCCTGCTCCCAATCCTTCCCCTCCCCCTCCCCCTCCTCCTCCTCCTCCTCTTCCTCCTCCTCCTCCTCCTCCTTCACATCGTCCTTCTCGTTCTCGCCCTCGTCCTTTTCGTTCTCCATTATCGTCATCCTCCGCCCACTCCCTGCTCCTTCTCTCCCCCTCCTCGTCCTCCTCCTCCTCTTCCATCCGTTATTCTTTTTGAGCTAGTCTTTTTGAGCTAGTCCTTATAAATAACTCCTCCCTTTCGCACCTACTGTCGTATCGGTAGGGCGGGATGGGCGCTCGAATCATTCAAGATCATGAGGCTTCAGAACTGCCACAGCTTCAAGGATGTAAGAACATTCGTTTTAAACAATCTACAACGGCTTCAAAGATGGAGGGCCGGTAAATGTGGCTCTAGCCCCAGCGCCGAGCAAACGAGTTTCGAACGTTTGCAGCAACATCAAAGATAGAGAGCGGGCGATTGTAAACATGTGGCTCTTGCATCAGCGCCGTGCACAATTCGTTAAAACGTTTGCAGCAATTTCAACGATGGAGGGCGGGCCGTTTTCAAAATGTGGCTATCGCGTCAGCGCCGTGCACATTCGTCTTGAAAGTTTGCAATGGTTTCAAGGATTCGTATGGTTGAAGTTCTAGGAACTGTGTTCTGGCACGATTTCGCATTGCCAGGACGCAGCAATCACGTCGATTCGTGGTGTTGAACTGGCCCGGTTTAAGAATGCCAAGACGCAACAGTCACGTTGATTTGCGGCGTTGAAGTTCCAGGATGTTTTCCTCTGCAAGCAAACGCCACAACGACGAAGCAGCACAGGAAGGAAGCCACGAAACAGTGGGGCATACCTTTAAACGTTCGCCTGAGAGAGGCGGAATCAGATTGGCGCGGACTTTGGACGGGAAGGCTGGGCATGAAACGGAGGACGCCAAACCAGCCCCTGGAACACAGCACGAACCAACCAGCCGTGGCCTGACTGACAAAGAGGCCCGAACAGCCAAGAAGGGAGCCCGAGGACGGCGAGGAGCCTTCGGGAAGCCCTCTCGTCCAAGACCGCCCTCCTTCATGGTGCGACGAGGGCGTCAGGGCGCCGCGCGCCCCGACCCGAGCCCGCAGAAGCTCGCGCTGTCCGAGCACCTCTGCTGCTCCCAGTGCGTGAGGCGGCGCTCCGGCGGGTCCCAGTAGGACGGGTCCCTGCGGAGGTCCTCCGCGGTCCAGACGCAGCCCCCGACGGTCTTGGGGTCGCAGGCCTGCCTCTCGCCCCCCATCGTCTTGCCGCAGTTCTGGCTCTCCACTTTGGGCGGCTCGAAGAGGCCTTCGGGCAGCAGGGGCTCTACGTACCACGCGTACAACGGTGCGCACGTGCAGGGCAGCCTCGAATTGCCATTGGCGTCCGGGATGTTGTAGGCGGGGACGATGCTCGGAACGCATGCGCCCCTGCCGTGAATGGGGCCCCCATACGTTGAGTCCATGTACGTCAGCCACAGCATCCCGCCCACGAGCAGGGGCCAGAACACAGCAGACAGGGCGCTGTAGGTGCTCTTCCGCCTGTCCGCCATGACCCGCAGCTGCTCCTGGGAGGGCGCGTCGTCTGCGCTCTCCGTGCCGGGCTCCATGAGCGCAGCGGTGGCGTCCCTCGTCCTGTCGAACACAAATCGGACCGGGAAGTTCAGAGCGTCGAAAGCGTTGTCCAAGGCGGCGCGGGCTCGGATGTCTGGGAGCTCTCGCGTCTCCCACTCGCGGACGCTCATGGTGCCCAGGAACTTCGGGGCCGTCCGCAACAGCTCGAGAGCCTCCTGCCGGCTCGCCTTCGCGAGGAGCGCCCTCACCTTGCGCGCGAGCTCCGCGTCGGGCTCATTCAGCGACTGCAGGCTCCCGCCGAGCACGTCCAGCGCTCGGCGCGCAGGAACGCCCAGCTCCCTCGCCACCCCGAGGAAGCGGGCCTCGACGTGGGAGCGGCCGCAGGGCACGTGCACCTCCGCGCCCGCCGCGTCCCTGCCGCAGTAGAAGCTGCGGAGCTTCGCCACCATCGGGAACTGCCCCCTCCAGGCCTCGAAGGCCTCGGCGGCGACCTCCCGCTCGGCCGCCGTGGCGGCGGCGAGGCACGCCCTCGCGGCCGCCAGGGGCCCCGCCTCCAGCCGCAGGGCCTCCGGCGGGCCCGCGCCCTGCTGGGGTGCCTGCCGGCGCGGCACCCTCGCGGCCCCCCCGCGGCCCGCGGCTGGCGCCCCGCGGCCGAGGGCGAGGGCGGGAGCGGCGGCCAGGGCCGCCGCGGCGCCCAGGAGCCCGCCTGCGGCGAGGGCGCCGCGCCGCGCTCCGCGGGCGCCAGCGGGGCGCGGCGCCATCTCTGCGCCCTCTTCGGCCTTCGGCGGGAGGCACGCCGATGCGGAAAGGGGCGCTCGGGCTCGAGCCGATTTGAAGTTCCAGGCCAAATTGCATGTTGGCATGGTGGAGGATCCTCAAACGGTTGTCTTTCAGTGAGGTACTCCCGGCAATGGAAGCAGAGTCTCGTGGGGGCCTGTGGGGAGGCAACTTGGAGAGAGGCTTTAGTGCAACAGCATTGGTGCGTCTTAGGTTTACACTGGTCCTCCTCCTCACCCTGCCTCCTCCTCTCCTCCCTCCTCTCCCCCCCTCCTTCCCCCATCCCCCCCTCCTCCTCCTCCTCCTCTCCTCCGCCTCCTCTCCTCACTCCCCTCCTCCTTATCCCCCTCATCTCCTCCTCCTCTCCTCCTCCTGCTCTCCTCCTCCTCCTCCTCCTCGTCCTCGTCCTCTCTTCCTCCTCCTCCTCCTCCTCCTCCTCCTCCTCCTCCTACTCCCGCCTTCTCCTCTTCTCCCCCCTCCTCCTCCCCTCCCTTCCTCCTCCTCCTCCTCCTCTCCTCCTCCTCCCCCTCCTCATGCTCCTCCTCCTCCCTCCTCCTCCCTCCTCCTCGTCCTCGTCCTCGTCCTCCTCCTCCTCCTCCTCCTCCTCCTCCTCCTCCTCCTCCTCATGCTCCTAGTTTCTTCATTTCCCAGACGTGCCCCCAGATGTGCCTGCAGGGCGGGCCGGGCGTGTGGCTTGAGACTTCCTCACCATTTCTGATCCTGGAGCCTGCAGTGTGCAGCAGATTCTAGGATGGAGGAGACGCCGTGGTCGTTCTCATAATGGGGCTAACACCTCAGTGCCACGAAGACTCGTTTTTGCCAGGTGGTTCTCAAGATGCGGTCCTGGCCTCACCTCACTCGTTTACGATGGAGGGCGGCGGCTCCTTTTCAAAATGGAGCTATCGTCCTAGCGCCGCGCACAGTCGTCGTAACATGACGTAGCAAGTTTGAAGATGGACGGCGGTTCCTTTCCAGAATGGGAGTTTCGCCTCAGCAGCAGCTCCAGAGATGGAGGACAACTCCTTCGAACATGAACCAGAAACATGAACAGGCGTAACACCTGCCAGGACGGAGGGAAGCTCCTTTTCCGAACAAGGACTCTCGCTTGACATATCCTCGACGCCCATGGCATGAAGTGCAAACTTGCGCAATAGCAACACAGGTCGGGGCGTTTTTTTTTTCTAAATGGTCATCTCGCCGGACACACATTATTGGACTGTATGTTTATACGTTCACGCAGTCCTTACTGCTCGCTAGAAGGATGCGAGAACTTCATGTTCTAAAAGGAGCTCTCACCCGAACAGCCCGTAGGATGCTGGTCGGTCAAGGGGCCGCATCATCTCGCGGAGAGGAGATATTTCAGGGGCTCACGAGGGGGCGACATGGGACGGGAGGCTGCGCTGGGGGAGCATCGATGCATCTGGGATGTCCTCTGATCCTCCTCCTCCTCCTCCTCCTCCTCCTCCTCCTCCACCACCTCCTCCTCCTCCTCCTCCTCCTGGTCCTGCTTCTGCTGCTGCTCCCGCCAGGTCGTCTCTGGAGGCCCCCGAGACCAGAGCTCCCCCGGAAGGTCCCCCGACGCGGCGCCGCGGCGCCGAGGCGACGCGAACTTGCCGCAGCCCGGCCTGCCACCCTGGCCCGACCTGCCCCGAGCCAACCTGCCTGCAGCGGGCTCGGCGCGGGCTTCTGGGACCGCGCGCCTCGTTTCGCCTGGCACGACCAAGGGCCATCCGAGAGCGCAGATCGTTCCATGCTTCGGGGATCTTCCGACCTGGGTCAATCCAGACCCGGGTCGGTCAGGCCTTGCAGGATCCTGCAGGACCCTGGAGGACCCTGCAGGATCCTGCGCCCAAGCCCGGGCCAATGCGCCCCTGGCCCTGCAGGATCCTGCGAGATCTGGCGCCCTGGCTGACCCCCGCTCGCACTGACCCCCGCCTCGAGGCTCCCGAACACTGGCTGGCTCCAGGCCTGCGGTGGCGCTCAGCCTTCGATGTGCAGAAGGGGCCCCCGCCGCGCCGACACACGACGGGAAATTGCCCCAAGCGACAACGCTCGGGGGTCCGCTGGACCCCTTACCGTCCCCCTGGCGGGCTCCGCGCGTCTGGGCGGGGGGCGGGACCAGCGCGACTCCAAGAGATCTGCGCGGGCCTCCGATGGATCGGAGGTCGGGGGCGAGGTCGCAGTGGGACGGAGAGGCCCCCCTCCAGGAGAGCAGCTTCGGTGTCGGGGTCGCGTCGTGCGAGGCGAGGCGAGGCGAAGAAGCTGCGTGGGCTGGGCGAGAGGAAGGGCTTCTTTTCTGTGGCCAGGGCGGGTCGAGAGCCGTTGACCGCCCCTCCTTGAAGGGGCCCTGGGACACACAAACAAGTACACACAAAAATCAGGATTCCCCATATTTCTCAATATTTTTTGCTTTTCGTCTTCCCCCCACTACCCATATTTTTGCACGTCTTCCTGGGAATCGACGATTTAATTGTGTCTGTGTGTTTTTGTTCCCTCCTGATTCCTCCCTCCCTGGTGGGCGGGCGGTGGCCGGATTGTCCCGCCGTGGCGTCCCGTCGCTGTCCGCTCTTCCCCCCCCGTCGGGCTGGCGGGGGCCCGCTTGTCCCGCCGTGGTGTCCCGCCGTGGTGTCCCGTCGGTGGTCCGTGGCTGCCACGCCGCTGTCCCGCCGCTGTCACGTCGGTGTCCCGTCGGTGTCCTGTCAGTGCCCCGTCGGTGTCCCGTCGGCGTCCCGTGGTGAGATCGATCGTGAGGTCGATGATGAGGCCGATAGTGAGGTCGATAGTGAGATCGAGCGAGATCAATGGCAACACCGATGGTGAGATCGACAGAGGTGCCGAAAGCGAGACCGAGTGGTGCCCCGATGGTGTCCCGATGGTGTCCCGTGGTGTCCCGCCGGTGTCCCGCCGGTGTCCTCCGGGTGTCCCGTCGGTGTCCCGCCGGTGTCCTGTGGTGTCCCGCGGTGAGATCGATGTGACATCGATAGTGGGATCGGTGGTGAGAGCGATAGTGAGATCGATCGAGTGAGATCGATAGTCAGATCGAGCGGGTGAGATCGATAGGGAGATCTAAAGTGAGATCGTTTGGTGTCTGGATGGTGTCCCGATGGTGTCCTCGTGGTGTCTCGATGATTGCATGTATTTGGCCTCATAGTCCCCTGGTGGTGTCTCGATGGTAAGGTCGATCGAGTGAGATCGATAGTGAGACCACATCGCGACACAGCATCGTCACCACGCGTCGTCGCCAACTCGAGGGCGCATCACCAGTATCGTCGTATAGCTATGCTTAATACTTATGCATTCGGTTGCCGTTCGCCATGTGGGTGTCCCAAGTCGGTGCGGTGACAGACTGTGCGGTGATCTCGAAATCCGCAGAGACCTCACCGCACGGTCCGTCACCGCACCGTTATGGGGACCCCGGAAGCCACCGCTGCCCGAGACACCCCTGGAGAACGACCGAGGCCCCAAAACCGTACAGTCAACCCGTATAATAAGGATGCGCGGTGAGGGTACCAGGGCCTTGGAGGGCCATGTTAACGTTTTTCGAAAGGGGTTGGCCAGCGAAAGTCGGTAAGAATGGACCGAAGGGGCAAGGATGCAAGCGTAATCTTGAAACAGTCGCTCATCCTCACAATGCGGGTTGGCTGTACGGCCAGCCCGAATCCCCACTGATGGAGGCCTCCCAGATGGGGTCCGAATAGACGATCTCAATGGGGTCGGAGCATCGCACCGCGTCGCCGATGCATCGGCGATGCATGGGTGACGTCGACGATGCATCGGCCACGTCGGCGCGGAGAACGTCAGGCTTATTATCGAGCCGCATCGGCGATGCATCGGCGATGCGGAGCGATCCTTCGACCCCATCCGGGAGGCCCAGCACTGACGGTCACCGCACGGTGTGTGATCACCGCAACGCTCTGGGGGGGGGCCCGACCTGGCCAGACGCAGCCTGGCCCAGCCTACCCCGCCCTTCCGCAGATATCCGATGCCTTGAGTTGTTCCATGCGGAGTCCGTGGAAGTCTCAAACGGCAACAACAACCTCCGCCTTGAGTTGTTCAATCTGATCAGCGATAATAGTACCCCTGATCCGTACGGAGGGGACCTGAGCTAGGAGGGTCAAAAACATCGGGATCGGGCTTTTTCTCTTGCACGGTGTCAGACGAAACCACCCAAATATCGTGTTTGGGAGATCCGATCCCTAAACCGTGGCCCCAAGTTAGACCACGACTTCACTGTGCTATTGGGCTCAGGGGTTGCATTACAGTCAGACCTCGGCCAGAAGATCATCCCTCAAGAACACGAGATCCTCCGCCGGCCAAAACTCACAGAACATCCAAGGGTAGCCTCGCCAAGGTGCACAAGAACATTTCACAAGCACGACGAACACGAGGGTACCATCTCCGAAACGACCTCTACGCAGGTGTGCTCCACTACTTCGCAGAGTAACTACTCGCAGATGGCATGGATCCGCCGAGGAGGATTTGCGATACGTTACGTCGAGGCAGACGCTTGCCTTTTCAGACGTTCGCGAGCAGGCACTTTGCGAGCAGTGGAACGCGCTCGGTGAACCTCGGCCCGACTGCACGCTCCATGACGACACGTTGCATCCCTGGGCCCCACGAGCGCCGGGGGCCTCTCTTTCTTCGCCTGCCTCCGCGGAGCCGCCGCCCACTCCGGCCGAGGGCCGGCGCGCGGCCGCGGCCTCCGCGTGCAGCGCGGGGGGGGGATGTGCCCTCCCAGACATCCTCCGGCGTGAGGTCTCGATCCGCGGGCCAGCCATGTGTAAACTCTCTGCTTTCCCCACATGCTCAGTGGGGTTATGGTTTTCTTCCCTGCGCG